CTCAAAATTACTCTTTAAATAGAGCATGTTTTAGCATATAATACTTTTCAATCAGAACCGCGCGTGCTTCGTGAGGGTCAAAGTACTGCGGATCACCAAACTCGTCCTCAGTGACGAGTTCAAATCTAGTTATTATGTATTATTTGAAGCCGAATTAAATGATAATTTACTGTACTATATTTAATATGGGATACTATTTTTAATATATGCTAATTGTGTAGATACGGTAAGCTTGATATGAAGCTCTTTACAAGTGTATGTTCTTTGTGTGGTTTATTTTTGTATTTTGATTTTCTTTTCTTTTTTGTATTTTTATCATGTAAAGCGCATTTGAGCATGATTTATCATGAATTATAAATGTGCTTAATAAATAAATGAGAAAAAGCCAAATATAAGGCTATTTACTTTTTATCATTATTTGATTCATTGTGTGAAGCCTTTTTTGAGAAATTTTTGCTAGGGAAAAAATCCTATTTAGTGTAAGGATTGATGAGACGTTTTTGATTGAGAAAAATCCTACTTAGCGCAAGGACTGGAATTATCAATGCTATCATTAATGACAGATACAGCACTGTTATAGATTAATAAGTTCTAAATCTTTCTCAATAAGTTATTAATATCTCTCAATGTATTTTAACAACTTTCTAAATAAAGCTTTCTTGCTGCAAACAAATAATTTTATGTATATGCATGTTTTGATTTAATAAACCAGAATATCTCTGGTTTTTGTATCACACAGCGATCTTCATCAGCTGGCTAATGTGTTAATTTCGCAATTATGATCACGTTACCATTTTGCATTTTTACTTCTATTTGTTTTTGACCATTGCACGGCGCCTAGGATACGATATGACTTCAGAATAATACAATACAGTATTTTATTGTTAAAACGACGATGGACTGTTCCATTTAGAAAAAGGGTAGATTTAAAAAAAAATCAAATGACAAGAATCTCTATTCAGAAAAAAGGTAGATATTTTTTTTCTCATAAAATATCAAATGACAAGAATCTAATTTAGGTGTCAGACAAGAATTTTCTTTTACCTTGTTTCGCGAACTTATTTTTTTAAAGATTGTCAGAGAAGGACAGAAAAAAAATAAAATTATGTTTTCTTATTTAGCAGATAGTTTTGCCAGAAACATCCAGACGGATGACAAAAGAAAAATAAACTTTTATTGGTGAATGTAAAGAGTGTAGTACAGTAATGAGATGGTTAAATGCTTAAAATTTATATAATTAGGTTGATATATATCTTATTTTTTGGAGATATCAAAGCAGCGGCGGGAGTAATAAAAATAAAGGAAAATTTTTATTTTTTCTTAAATTTCCATTTTTCGTGGCCGCAGGTGCGCTAATTGGCAAAAAAAAATGTTATTTTTATTTGAAATCATCATTATTGGCGGGCAGCTGGTTCACTAAAAAAGGTATAAAGAAGTCTCACTTTATAAAACAAATAATGAGTGTTTTTTTTATCATAAGATTTGACTGTTCCATTCAATTCAGCTCCACCTCGTTGAATGGAACAGTCAATATTTTTAACTCATGAAAATATTCTTCCCATTGCACTCATAAACATTAGTTATTTGTAATTATCTTATCACAATCTTCTTGCCATTATTCTCATCATCTTCATAATGATCCTCATCATTACATTATTCATCTGATGTCATCTTCCTAGTTGTATTCATGACCGCTGCCCACATCATCACATCATACAAAACCGAATTATTAAATTAGCACGACTCGGCAAAAATACTCATTAGAAATTCATTTTTATTCTTTAAAACTGTCAACTGAGACAGCGTCTGATGATTTGTTTTCTTTCATTACACATTAATATTAGCATCTTAATTTCATTTTAAGTTAAAGTTTGAACAAGTACACATAAATATATAACAAACTATGCCTACAACACCACCATATTCAGTTTTAATATTTTAAATTATGTTGCGTTTTGAACTTTGAACTTGTAATAATTGACAGTCTGTACAACAATGTTGGATTAATAAACAAAAATTTGTACTTTTTAATACCTACAGTATATACACGTTTTGAAATGAAATAAAAAATAACAGTCCATCTTTTTGCATTAATAATATTTTTAATTATTTTTATTTTGGATTACAACGGCAGCTCAAATTGAACATCTATGGATGCTTGTTTTGCTAACTCCACAATCGCAGACAATTTAACAACCTGGGAAAAAAGAACATAATACATTTATTAGACAATAGTTATAATAAAATTTTTATTAGTTTTAGAAATATCTGCATTGATCTTAGGTTTTATTATTATTATATGGCAATTCGAATGGCCAATCGGTTTAGGCAGGACACTGCAATGTACAGCGATAATATCGGTGCAGGTTTGAGCGGCATACTCTGGTGGTGAAACAAGTCTTCTCAGATATATAACATGTGCACTTTAAAATCCCAGTACATCTTTCGAGATGATTAGGGGGTCACACCGGTTCATGCAGGCCCTGTTGAGGACTGACAAGAGATAGCTGGCACCGGTTTACCAGGTAGCTCAGACACAAAGAGACCCTTTCGGGAGAAGTAAGATATTGTATAAGCTAGTCCACACCTCAAATACATTGAGACTTCGGTATAAAGCATTATATAAATCCAAGTACATTACACAACATTAACCGAAATGTCCACTGATTAATCTCAGATAAGATAGTATAATACATACTCCAAGTATCGAAATGCATCCATCGTGTCGGGATTCAATATTTCGACATTAATTATGTCATCATTTGTGTTATGTTTACACAACATTATACCACTTAAAAAAATGGTGGTTAAGATGGTTGCTTTTAAATCCAAGAGTCTTGTGTTTAATCTGTCACCGCAGGATTTCTTTTTGTTTTTCCTCACAACGAAAAACAGTTCCAATACCTAAGCCATCTAAAAGAGACTTAGTTTCTAATGCATCTTTTGATCCTATTTACGGATGAGTTAAAAATTTCACAATAGATTATATATTTACCATTTTTGCTGCTTCTTCAAGATCATTGCAAGCAATAATTTTCATTTCACTAGCGGCAATTAATGCCTTAGCATCTTCAACTTGAGTTCCTAAGAAAAAAAAAAATTCACAAGAACTTTAATTATAAATCAAGTGTACAATGACATGTTTCCTGTTATGAAAATTAACCTCTGTTTACAGTCACATATTGATTGGCATACACTAACCTTGTAACCGGCAGACAATAGGCATTTTAAGACTGAGGTCGCTGGCTGCTGCAATAATGCCTTGAGCAATCACATCACATCGCATGATGCCACCAAAGATATTAACCAGAATTGCATTCACCTACCGAATATAGGACATTATTTAATCCATCAACAATAATCAATAGTAATGATAATGGCTATAGAAAAATTCAAATACAAGTTTGAATTAATGTCAAATAAAAAATAAATGATAGTTGCTTGTCAAGGTCCAAAAACTAAACATATATTACACAAAAAAAGATTTATAAAAACATAAGTGATAATCAAACTGCCTTTTCGACAACATATAAAGTTAATGTTAAAGTATAGAACTGGGACAAGGGATTTCATATTCCATTCTACTTTTCATGCTTTTGTCGCTGATGTTGGTTTTGGCATGGCAAGCCTCATTTGTATGAAAGTATTACAACTATCCCTGAAAACTGAAAGGTCCACTGATTAATCTCAGATAAGGTAGTATAATACATACTCCAAGTATTGAAATGCCATCGTGTCGGGATTCAATATTTCGACATTAATTATGTTATCATCAGGAATATGAGATAATTCATGTCAAAATATTGAATCCCGACACGATGGTGTGCATTTCGATACTTCAAGTATGTATTATAATATCCTATCCCTGAAAAGTATACATTTTCTAGGAATAAACAAATACCAACGAATGTGGATTAGTGGAAACATAGAAATAGGTATTAACATAAAAAAGAAGATAATATTTTGATGAATGATTGTAGGTATAAATTGTTTTCTCATGCAATTTCCTTTCAGAAAATGTATAGTTTGTATTTGGTTGGGAAATTAATCGTGCTAATTTTAAACCGAAGAGTGTCGCAAAATCGGCTATGCAACATAAAAGGTGGCAGTTTAAACACGATTTCACTTAAACCAAAGAGTATAGAATAGCAAGGTGTGACTGTTGAAGTTTATTTGAAACGGAATCCTATCACGAAAAGTACTAAAACAAATTGGGAACCATCCTTCGAAAGGGGTGATATACATGTAAAATTTGTGTCGAGTGTGTGCTGCGTGTAAAGAAAGCCTGTTCAAATTTCGAGCCGTATTCAAATTATAAGGTGGCCCTTATCAAGTGGTAGTACTGCATTTTTCGTTTCATTTTGTGCATAAAAAATCAGGATAGTCAGACTTCTAGGCATACTATCTTCTTTGCTTAAACTTACATTGGGATCTGAGGTGATGAGCTTGAAGGCTTCCTTCACCTGGTCTTTTGTAGCTCCTCCCCCAACATCTAAAAAGTTAGCTGGGGCTCCACCATGCAATTTGATGATGTCCATTGTAGACATAGCTAAACCAGCACCATTTACTGGGGGTAAACCAGATTGTGTATTTATCAATACAAACGACACTTACTTTACAATCTATACATTATATGAAATATATTAGAATATTTTGACCAAGTATAAAAAAAAACAACTTAATATCAAACATTCACTTAGACCAAAGAATATAGAACTGTAAGAGGACAGATTCTCGTGGTTTTGTTGGAATGTAATCCTATTTCAAAAAGTACTGCCACAAAAGGGCTTGTCCTTCAATAAACGGGTTTCGAGTTTACAGATCATTAATTAATGGACATTTTGGCATGTAAAATAAGATCGACTTAGAAATTATTTGAGTTAGGCAAATTTGACTTAGGAAATATCCTCTACAGACAATTGTGAGCCCATCTTCCTTCCTTTCTCTCGTAAATAAATATTTGATTTCTAGTTCAAAAATGGAGACCAAAAATATATTAAGGCGACTTCATCATTTGGCACAATATAAATAGTGCTACTTGGGAGTAGGCTCAGGGGGGTGTGGATGCCCCCATGGCAAGAAAATAATTTCACTAACTGGCTAAAAATGCTAAAACTGACCACTGAGATTTCATTGGATTAGAAATTTAGTTCTGCATTGTCATTTTTCGCATTCCCCCATGAGCATACCAGCCTACGTTCCAGTGCTAAATGAACTCGCGGTAGATATAGTAGTGAGGAAGGCAAAAATGCAATACAAGCGGTTTAATAGTTTTTGGAAGGCCCTTACTGTACCCGAAACAACACTAGTGTATTACATTAGTATACTACACTGATGCACCACTGCCAATGTTTTTATAATTATATCATTAATATATAACAGCATTAGTAGTGGTATGATCATCATAGAATCCAACTAGGAAATGGAAATTTTAAACTTACCAAGACAACCTATTGTGCCATCAAGCTGTATGTAATTGAGGTTTGACTTGGATGCCTCCACCTCTCTAGGATCTTCTTGAGCCTGGTCTCTCAGAGCATGGATGTCTTTTTGTCTGTATGATGCATTGTCATCAAAGTTGATCTTACAGTCCATGCATAAAACTGAAAATAGAAATAAGCAATTAAAAGGGTACATATTACAAGTATTTATTATGTACACACAAAATTTACACATACCTATAAAAGCAAATGGCATGTAAAACAAAGAGTGCAAGGAGACATTTGGAGAGGCATTCAATAGACAGTGGTAATGATGATGATCATAATAAATATGTGGAAAACCCCTCCATTTGTCGTAATTTCTAATATCCCACAAGCACCTACCATCAATAATTAGCATTGGGTATTTTTTTAATGGTTTACAGTGGGTTAATTTCCAGCATTGTTGCATCATACTTAATCAACAGTTCATACAGTTTAATAAAGGTGTCAGCAGCCTACAACATCAAATAAACAATCATATATAAAGCTCTATCCACTATATAAAAATGTTGTATGCCCATATATAGCCATGATGTGCCTATATATGGTCATAATGTCATGTCATCATGACATGTTTTTGTCAAATAAAATTTGATAGTCTGGACAGGAGTCTAAAGTAAGTATATATATATATGACAAAATATTTTCATTCTTTTCCTTTCCCACACTGTATTAGTCTACTATCATAAACGTTTTTTGGGAGAGGTAGAGTGTTGTGGTTGTTTATATGGATTTAAGTAAGCATTATTGTAGAACAATGGAGCTCCTGTCTTTATCACATATTGTTGAGTCAAGTTCAACAAAGAGCTCTGACACCTCTCAACCCCTTCTAGTATGACCAGACATACCTCTGCAACACAGCCATCTGAAAAGCCAATCTTCTTTGCTACATCTATTGCTGTCTCTTTTGTCAACCCTTTAGAAATCATTAAGCAAACAATATAATTTGATATTAAGTTAAATTCTTGAATCAAAATAATCAAAAGATAATTTCTTATATTTTGTAGTACCATACATTATGTTGTTTAAGCATTATTTATATATTATTATTAAGTAAAAATGATTTATCCTTAATATCAATATTGTTATTATCATCAGTGTCTTCATCAATATAATATTCCATGGCATCACCATCATAATAGTCAGCAACATTACAGCATTGCAATTGTCATCATCATTTTCAACATAATAATCATCTAGATCAACAGTATAGTCACTATCATAATCAACATCATCATCATCATCATCAACTTCATCACCACCAACATCACTTTCAACAACATCAACAGCTTCATAATCAACATTATCAGTATCATCATCATCAATATTGTCGTTATCATCGTAAACACCATCATCATCATTTAAACACTATCATTATCGCCATTATCATTTTCTTCACTACTATCATCATCATCATCACCATCACCATCACCATCAATATTGCAATTGTCATCAATACCATCATTATCATCACCACCACCATTCTCCATTATCCTTCATTATCCTATCCTGAATGGCAGTGATTATACCTTCTTTGATATCAATGCCTTGTTTGACAATAGAATCTGGACTTTCTTGAGCTATTTCTTCAATATTCACTCCACCCTGTGAACTTGCAATAATTACAGGTCCCTATATATTTAAAAGTTAATAAGACTTTTAATCAATGAGTGTATGCTCTATTTTACAAATTTAACACTAACATGGAGTGGAGTTAAGTGGTTAAAATGCTTTCCTTTCAATCTCAGGGTCCTGGGTTCAATTCCTCGCAACTAAAAAGAAGTCCTACTCCTAAAACCTCATGAAGAGACTTGATTTATAAAGCACTCTTGCATTTTTCATTACAAAAATCTCCACATATCAGTTGGAATATGGGTTTATCTGGCATAAGCAGGAAAATTTTAAAATATATTATTAAATATACTACGTACCATATATGATCTATCTAATGTAATTGCAAAGTAATATTCACGTCTTGAATACATTCTCTCACAAACCAAAACCTGAAAAAAAAACAGAAAAGCATTATGGAAGATTATAAATATTTTTATTTATTGGTATTTTAGAAAATTTATATTTGATATGTTTTCTAGATGAAAGTGCAGCCCGCGGGGCCACAAGCAGCCCACAGCAGCAAGCAGCAATTTTGATGTGTCTGCCAATGACACTATGCAAAATAGAGCAGAAAAATAATGAGGTACACAATTGATTGAAGGTTAAAACATACATAGAGCACAATTAATGTTTTAGCCTTCAATCATTTTTTGTACTGCCAGCACATATATGCTCCAATTCAGAATGAGGTAAACTGGTACATTAGTAATAAGTGACATTTATTACTGAGATGTGTCCTACCCCTTTCAGAATGCCAAGAAATTTAGTTCATTTCTGAAACACTCTTTTAAGATTCTGTATACTAAGTACCATTAGGGGATATATTCGGAATCCATCATGTTTAATGCGCCAATAGTTATTTAGAATGTTAATGGCATCGTCGAATACTTCATCGTCGCTTAAATATCTTTGCTCAATGGGTGGCGTATCTTTTCTTGGAAATGTTATGGGCAATGTGACTGAAGCTAGTTTATTCAACAACGGGGCCCAAAAGTTTTCAATCGGATTTTCCTTTGAATATCCGGCAGTCAGATTTGCCACGTAGTAGTTGTAGTCGAAGTAATAGTCCCACCATAATAATGTCCCTGGCATATTTATGTATGGATGGATTCTGTTGACCAATCTGGTCCTCTGTCAGCTAAAATCATTACAACTGATTTTTCCTCCCCAACAGTCGCATCTTCAATCAACTCTCCAAGTCTTCTGGATAAGATTCTGCCTGGTTAAAAACATACGTTGGACCAGTTAATCTATATCTAACATGGCTTGCTGGGCAGGTAGATCTGGTACGATGCTGGTCAGGTTCCACACTTCTTGATCATGTGGGCTGAGTAATTAATTTTGCCTTAGTTTTCATGACATGATACCCGATGGAATTATTTTGGATCATATGGAAAATTGTGATCGTTGTAGTTCGGTCGGTCAGAGTCCAAAAAAAAAACTGTCGTATCTGGAAGTACCAGCTCACAGCAAGGGTCCCAACATCAACTTTATTTTTGTCATCACACGACAACCGCAAACATTTGTCCTTGCAAAATTCACACACTTCATTCAATATTTTGCACTGCGATTGGCAAAAATGTAGATCAAAGTGTTGATTCTTTGTTGCGCAGTGTGACTTAGCAGGTACTTGCACTTTCACTTGCTTTTAAAATATCTAGCACTGCTGGTTCCACTTCTTGGCGGCATCATTAACCGATGAACAGTGAACTTGCTAATTCCTGCAGCTTCCAGCTCAGGTTCGTTTTCTTTGAAATGATCAGTGATGTGTTGCAATGTTACACCATTTATTTTCCTATAACATTAACTTGTTCTAATCTAGATTTGCCACTCTTTGTTTCAGTCAGGATTGTTTATTCTCAATCCCAATATACTTTCTCAAGATGATTGTTTGTGACTGGCCATTAGGATTTCTGGTACGGTAAATTATATCATAATATTGTGTCTCTCTGTATTATATTATTATTCCTCTTGATGATACTTGATTAAGAAAATAAAACATCACATAAAATGGCATTGGAGTGGAGTGAACTTTAATCTAAAAACCATAGGCCTACAGTCAAAAGTAACTGATATTATGGATACGAGCGATGAACAAGTTGTTGGTACTGCACATACAGTAACTACAAATAGGATTTGTTTCCCAGTAAATTTCTCACATGTAAATAACAGCATAATTAAAATGTTTTACACTAAGTAAAAAAAAAAATCAATATTAAACATCTCCTTTATTTATTCAACCATAATTGACGAATATCTACAAAATGTTCTATTGTTTTACTGTTTGGGTCTATTTTTTCTCGGGAAAAATATTGTAGGTTTCCTTTTCCTATTTAATAACACCAAATAATCCCAGCGTAGTACAAACTCAAAAACTTCGGCAGACAATAAATTAACTACAAAACTCAATATCAAAATTGGCAGATTCATGTACCGCGTGTACAACAGAAGATGCGGTAGAGGGTATAGTATTAGTCTTCATATTAAACAGCAATCTCACTCAATTTCGTTAACATTTCAATGCTTCAGTGAACATAACCACACCTACCTGATTAACGAAAGGGCTTAGGTAGTGCCACATGTACTGCAGTCTACTTCGGTACACAAAGTACAATAAAATTGGCACCATCCCTTAACTAATATTAATAAATAAAAAATACAAATAACTTACTGAATTACATGGCCTGCCAGCAGCTCCTGTTTGTTTGGTTATTAACTTGTTGCCAATCATCTGTGATGCAATTTCACGAACTTCTGTTGGTCTTGAATGCGAGTAATTTGTATTAATAAATGCTAATCAAAGAATTAATAATTACACTCTGCCCGACAAACACAGAGATCTCTGTGTTTGGTAATGCAATGCTTGCCCACCAAAACACGGAGATCTCCGTGTTTCAGGTTTTTTTTTACAGAATCCGATAGATGGGGTAATTACTGACATGTACTAACAATTTAAACAATATATTCAGTCTGATCGTAAGTATTTCACTATTTGTTTGCTTACATTAGCGTAGAGTGGTATTGATTTACTTTCATGAAATCACAATTATCTCAGCTTTCATTGTGCGAAATTGCGTAAATCTCAAAAAGTGAGTCATTTTCATTTTACTGTACGAGTCACAGATTGTGATTAGAACAAAGTGTTTGGTACCATTGTAAAGCTAAAATGTTTGTAGTTCTTGTAGTATTCACTACATGTCAATCTGATCACATACGCACTCTCAACGATCTTCGGAAAAGTGTTAAAATCTGCTAAAAATTCTTGCAGTGGCTGATACTATTTTTCAAATACCTGCTGTATTTCATATTGGTATGCCATTGTCAGCAACTAATGCAAATTTTTAAAAATTAACAGTTTCACAAAAAAATGTGTTTCTAAATTGTGACAATGTTAGCCTCAAGAAACAAAGTTCAAAAAGTATAGTATATTCTAATTTCATATAATCCATAATACCTGTAATAATAAAAACATACATTAATAATAATGTTAATAACAAGTTTGCTAGTGAAAAAGAAATTAAAACTAATATAATAATAATAATACTATTATTAGTATTACACTAATCATAGCCTCCTCCCTTTGCAATTTTCATCTGATATAATTCAGTATTAAAGCAAATACTTACGAAAAAGCTAACTTGACACCTCCTTTAAGACCACTTTCAAAGTGACCTTTCCCCCTTCCTCCGGCCAGGACTTGTGCTTTGATTACTACATCATTTCCTCCTGCAAATAACAAATTATAATCAAGAAATAAAAAAAAATGACGAGTTGATGATTATTGAAACCTGTGTAGAAGCCTAGTGTTGTACCAATCTCATTTGTTTCCTTTTCATGTCCAGGTACATTATTGAGACTTAATCTGGGCACTCACTGCATCAGACGACCGTCGGCTGACGAATCCAAATCTGCTCCCCGTGAGCTTCAGTTGACGCGATGCCGTCTGCTGATTGTCAGTGGCAGTCGGGATGGTTAGTAACTAGAAACGATCCCTTGCACGTGCGTGGTGGTATTGCGTTCTACATTGAATCGCATCGGCAAACGACCGTCGGATGCAGTAAGTACCTGACTTTAGGCGGTATAAAAAATCGTCGTCCTGCTGCAAGCATTTTCTACGGATACTGAAGCAAATTGTCCTTATATAAAACCACTATTAAAAAATAGGCTCCCAGCGGGTGCATGTATCTATGCCTTATACTGTATTACGTTTACTATCTGCATGAAGAATAGGTTATGTGTGGTGGTGTTCCCTTTGCTGTTAAAAATCTGCGACAATGACCAGTGTTTATGACATTCTTCTTGTTCTCAAAGGAGATGGTAGAGATATCTGCGTATGGTGCAAAATGTTTGTAGAGTTGAATAGTTTTGGAGGTATAGGAGCTTGATGGACGTTCAACAGATGTTTATAGTAGTCTCAGTATTATCAACTAGACAAGACTTTTTTACACTTTGTTTAGCGTATTTTATTGAAATGATGAAATGGCAAAAAGACAGTAGTCTTTGAGGCCAAAATCTATTCGTTTTCTAATAGAGTACCCCCTACCTCGTGGTAGTACCATATCATGCACCTCCACCAAATTTACACACATGACCTCTACCGGATATACTCTTCTAGAGTTAACTGCCAGAAGACAACATAGTGTCTATGCCTCCCCAAAAACTGAAAACTAGTGAAAACTGCATTATTTGGTCAATGTCATTGGATGGAAGTTAACATATTTCATAAACAACATAATGAACAGTATACTAGTCTGTTCACATACAATACACAGTAATTAAAACAAAGTAGCACATCTGAGACTAGCATTTATGTATGCAATACGCTGCTTCAGGTGAATTCACGGTAGAATTGTAGGCTACAGAGTACTCAAGACCTCGTCCCAATTTGTCTCACTAGTCTCATAACATACTTCATAATTTTAAAAAGCAATTCAATGTCATAGATAAATCTTTGAAGGTAATTTTTTGAGATTTTATCGTGTGTGAATTCTTACCTAGGTCTTTTGCTGCTTGGTATGCCTCATCAGGTGTCATCGCTACCTTAGCACCTGGGATTGGCACACCTGCTTCTTGTAGCAGATTGAAACTTAGATATTCATGAAGAGACAAATTTCTACGCTGTTGTCCATTAAGTAATTGATTACAAGTGGCTGCAGCAACCTGAATGAAAACAATATCAATCTAATGTTAATACTAGTTAGTACTGTACTATAATCTGAACAACAGTGATAATGCCTCCTCCTAGACAGTTCAGTGACAGCAGATTTTTATCGCGTTCACACCAGCAGCAGAGCAGTTGTATAATTATTTTTCTCCATCATCATACAATATTATAAAAAAAATTATGATTCAAAATAAAAAAATCATGTCACATATATTTACTTTAGCCTACTTTATTAATGAAATTATATAACCTTATTGTAAATAAAATTGTGCAATTGAATTCAGCCACAAGGTTGATGTGTTTTAGCATAAAGAAAGAATAAAGACTTTTCATAGACTTACAGTAGCCTAGGCATCTAATAAAATATATTGATATTATTATTAATATTAGGCTTAGCCTAATATATTTCATTTAGTGTTCAATGTGTTCCATATGTAGTTATGTTAGAGGAGTGACGTCACGGACTGTTATCGTTGTCGCGACGCCGATGCTGATTGTTTTGGTTTTGCATCTTGCATCCAGATTAGAAAAAATCGTATTAAATCGTTTATTGGTTGCATTCGCTAGCATTTGAACTTATTTACAAAGTAAACAGGTCAAAGTTTACTTGCGCTATTTAAAAATATTTTTTTCATTGATCGGTCACGGAGTTACAGTGTACGGAACATTTTCTTTGAAATTAAGCATCATTTACACATATTTTGTAAGCTCTGTAAATTTTAAAAACCATCCTGTAATTTTAAGAATTATATATTTAATATATATGCCAAGTATGAATTAGATCTGATGCTACTCAACAATTTTTTTGATTTTCTCAAATCTTACGATTCTCGAGTCCGCTGATCGAAAGATGTGTACATTTGAGGATGATTCAAACGGCATAATTGTTATTAAATTTACACATAAAGTCTGTATTACTGATGAATATGTCCAATATAATCATTGCTTAGTATTATATAATAGAATATTTTTAAAGATTTTGATTTATTATAATGATATTTTGCGATTAATATACCCGTGTATAATTGAGAATTACCGTCAC